AGCCCCGGCTAGCGAACGAATCAAGAATGGGGCCCATCCAACCAAACGCGCAGACGTGGTGGCTGGAAGTACTTCGCGAGACAATGTTGACTACCACCCGAAACGACCGAATCGACAATTACAGCCCGATAGACAATCCGCAGCTAGCCAGAAACATCTCCACCGAATGCCACAACGTCGGAGCTGTCGATCAACGTATCTCGCGCCACGATCGGGCCAAACCAGTCGGAACGGCACGCGGAAGAAGAGGCGACGACGACGACGACGACGACGAGGCGGACGAAAATCAACAGGGATTGACTAATAGTAAGAGGCATGAATCATCCTGCCACGCGGTTAAGAATCGAATGTATATAATTGAACGCGTACACCGGTGGTTTTTTAATTGGATCAATAAACGTTTTCCCAGCCAACTCACCTTCTCGCTACAACAGGACGAGAAATGACAATCACATTTAAAGGAAAACTGTCGGAGTTAGAACAAATATTCTGAAATAAGGGGGCTGGGGAATTTTACACTTGCCCCATAGACAAAATCTTTTGTTCTATACTTCCAATGGAAAACCATCATGTGGAGAAAACGTTTGATTCTTTCATCATAGGAAGAACAAGCGCAGAATATGTTGACCAACTCCGTGATTGGTCTGTTCATCAGTAGCGTACAATGTTTCCGCTTTCTCTCTGTTCAGTGTGAAAAGCAAATCGAGATCCTCATTTGTGGTGCAGTGTGGATCCATCTGATGTGGCTAATTTGGATTCCAGTCAACAAAATTAGTCATCGTTATGATCTCGGGAGCTACAATCACTCAATCTACCTAATAAGTGGAATAATGGAGAATCGACCAGAGATCGAGGAAATTAGTTGGGTTGAAAAAAGGAGTACATAGAAGCTTGAGTTGTATTAGTCAGTCTCCTGGTAAGAACATACTTCAGACAAAATAAACGGAAATAGGCTGAAATACTTATAACTGCAGATCGTCAATGTGCTGGCACCAATAGCTTGTAGCTCATTTGTGTAAAAATATTCAAAGTGGTTGGCCTCTGTTTCTTCAAAAGGCATTCTGTCAGATTAATATCTGATGGGTTTATACAAGCATGATACAGAGGCCTTTTTTGATCTTGGAAATGTTGGATTCCATTCCATCACGGAGTCAGTGACTAACTAATTTTGTTCCAAGCCAATCGATTTCGCTTACTCACCGACAACTGACCACCATCACTGGCGAGTGAATTGCAATCTTTGTAATGCCTTTACATCCCATCCCATAAATCTACGTAATATTTCTCACGTTGTATCGCTGCAGCTACCCACCTGTTGAGGATGTGAACATTTTGGATCGAGTCCGCACAGCTCCAATATAAAAGTAATGCACATTTTCAACCTCTACTGTTACCAAACACCTTTAGTACCCTACATTCAACTACTTGAAACAACGCTACGGTCAAACACACCACGCTTTAGTTTGTCAAGAATATGGGAAAGTGATCGTGAGTAGTGGTTGTTTGAAGATTAATAGCAGACAAAGAAGGCTGAAACAAGTGACTTTTGACGTTCTGGTTGATTTATAACAAAATATTGATATGAGGAAATTATTTAAACTGGAGCTAATGAGAAGGAGTCTCACCTCAGACACACCTTTTTCAGCGTGGTTTCATTATGATAGTTGTCACAGTACGGAAATGACGAGACGATTGCTTAAATATGCATGCCCAAACACGATGGGTTTATTACTGTGTGAGTGTGTGTGCAGTGTTCATGTGGCACTTGAATAGAACGGAATTTTACTACCAGTGTTATGAGGTAAAACCTTATAGTGAGTGATACGTAGCGAGTCAATTAAATTTTTTTATTACACACGTTCGTGTGGCGAACAGCAGACGAGGCGAACCCCATAGTCACGAAGACCTGCTACCCTGTCATGGAAACCGATAACCTGAACAGCGGGACTTGAAGTGGCGAACCACATAAGGCCCCGATAGGTTAGGTATTGTGTTGAAACGGACGACAGCAAAGCTGCCTACCACCAAAGTCGGATGGCAGTAGCTGGGCTCGAACCTTGGACTGTATGGTCCAAAGTACGCCTGTAACAGCGAATGAACCACTACGCCACCACCACCTATTCCACTTCAATAGTTGGCGTTAATATCCCCAAATCCATTGGCGGTTGCAATAAATTAACTGAAGTGCATTACTCAAAAGTTTTAGCGGTAATTTACTATGTGTTATATAGCTTGTTTATCTGGTGATAATTCGCTAGCATTATTTCAAACTGAGCTCTCGTATGCTACATTCTCTTATTTTCTCCTTTGGTGCAGGTTGTTCCCGGTGTGCTTAACTACGTGAGAGAGAAACTGGGCAGAAAATTTGTCGAACCCCCGCCGTTTGATTTGGCTCGCACATATCAGGATTCCAGCTGTACCACGCCTCTTCTATTCATTCTATCCCCCGGGGCGGATCCAACAATGGCTCTGTTGAAATTTGCCACCGATAAGGGTTTTGGTGGTGCTCGTTTTCAGTCCATCAGTTTAGGACAAGGACAAGGTCCAATTGCAGCGAAAATGATTGCCCAGGGAAAACAGGATGGTTCATGGGTCCTGTTGCAGAACTGTCATCTGGCGGTCAGTTGGATGCCTGCATTGGAAAAGATTTGTGAAGAGCTGACAATTGAGAATACAAATGCCACGTTTCGACTGTGGTTAACAAGTTACCCATCCCCGAAAGTGAGTCAAAAACACCAGGTGTTTCATAACTCCAAAGAATATCACTGTTCGTTTGTGATGTTTGGGCTAAATATTGTTCATTATCGTTGAAACATGTTTTAAAAGGAAGTAGGGATTATTGGAAAAGGTTTGTTCGCATAAAAGGTGAATGTGCTGCGGTCTGTATTTGTGAATTTCTTTTCGATTCTTTACTCTGTTTTACAGGATTCTAAAGAAAGATCAACACGTGTTGGTGTATACATTATGTATAGGTTTGCTTGCTTAGTGCACCAATTTCGATTTTTCATAATAGTAGTAGAGCGATTGCAGATATGTCAAAATTCACCTTCACCGATGAATTCAATTTATCTTCTTATCATATAGTGACATCATTCAACTAGATTCTGGATCCCTGGGGCCTTAATCTAGCAGATGGGATGTCCGGATGAAAACCACAAGCAATCACAGTTTCTTCATCCCTGTGCACCACATCATTGTTTTTCCATCTCACTGGTTCCTCCAACCGGATTCAATGACTGCAACTAAAACAACTTTGGGGTCAACGTTTTCCATGCATTTGTAGTACGAACCTCAGTCAGTTCGGACGGTACAGTAAAAAGCTCTTACAGTAAGGACACTCACTGAGCGTCGCTTGATCTCACCGTCACATATGCCACGCTTTTTCCACGCATGACAACACAGGTAACATGCTGAAATCGGATAACAGTTAGATATACGGGTGAGCAATGACGCATTGCGTATGCCTGCTCATGGAATACATTTCCGTGCTCTCTTTGCACATGCCGGGCAAGGCTAGAAGAAACGCCGTGACGGTCCGACCGTGACATAGCGTACAGATATAAAAAAGCTCGCTTCAGCCTTGGCTTCGATCGGTGCAGCTCGCCTTACAGGTTGGGGCCCAAGGGATGAGGATTTTCGTTGGTCAAAGACGCTGAGAGATATGGCCCAGAATAGAATTCGGTGGCTCGAATGCTGTACGGTCTGCCTGTCGAAATCCCATGCCCCTTAAAAAAAAAGAAAAATTAACACAAAAATATCAACAAGTGCTCGGTGAAACACACGAACGTTTTGTTATTCCAGTTATTTACCATTTTATATTTTAACCGTTTCATCTTCTTTACTCAAACAGGACACGTTTCACAGCCGCATAATAACACAGTATGTACCACTGCTCCGTGGATCCCATTTGGTGGGTGGAATATATTGAACTGACGCAGGCGATTCAGCGGATTATGATAAGTAGTATCGCATTTTGTAAAATCACCGCAAATCAAATAGCTTGGGTTGTTGGTCTGGTGGTCAAGGTCAGATTATCACTGCGGAGGTGTGTTCGAATCCCACCACAACCGTCTGACTCCCAATTATGTATCAGTTGGCAGCCCTCTGAGTGGTCGCTTGCCCCTTCGTGAAAGTTTTAACGAAGTATAAACAATAAAAGGAAGTAAAAATGAAAACTAAAACGCTCCGCGACAAGCAAGTCAGTTTGATAGGAAAAATGTATTGACATCAAATGGAGCAAACAGACTGCACATTTCATATGAATTTAAGCAAGATGTCAGAGTTGATGAAACCAGGAGCACATAATTCGATGATCGTATTAGCGTAGAGAACGCATTACAATAAATGACATAATATTCCATCCGATGCGCATCCAAAGCCAACACATAGTGTAGTGAGAAGGCGAGTTGGCTGGGAAAACGTTTATTGATCCAATTAAAAAACCACCGGTGTACGCGTTCAATTATATACATTCGATTCTTAACCGCGTGGCAGGATGATTCATGCCTCTTACTATTAGTCAATCCCTGTTGATTTTCGTCCGCCTCGTCGTCGTCGTCGTCGTCGTCGCCTCTTCTTCCGCGTGCCGTTCCGACTGGTTTGGCCCGATCGTGGCGCGAGATACGTTGATCGACAGCTCCGACGTTGTGGCATTCGGTGGAGATGTTTCTGGCTAGCTGCGGATTGTCTATCGGGCTGTAATTGTCGATTCGGTCGTTTCGGGTGGTAGTCAACATTGTCTCGCGAAGTACTTCCAGCCACCACGTCTGCGCGTTTGGTTGGATGGGCCCCATTCTTGATTCGTTCGCTAGCCGGGGCTGTCTCTCTCACAGTAGCACAGCATTACTTATTCACATAGCATGTGGAAAAATGGATTTATTCATGGGAAGTGACCGGATGGAATCGGCCTGCAGTATCGTGCATTTGCGTCTGAAAACTGTTTGATGGGATATAAAACAAAACGTTCTAATTTATACAAACTGGGCGCCACAGTTTATTGGACCCAATTCAATTTCCACGTCGCATGATTAGGTCATATTTGTTCCAGCTTATATATATATATACGAGACTGATATCGTCAAGCCTACGCAGATCATTAATTCTCAATGTCAATATCTCAATGTCAAAATGTTTTCTCGGTTTTACTTCTTACCACACCCTGCGCAGTTTCCGGTGACCGTGTTACAAAACGGAGTGAAAATGACAAACGAACCCCCCACTGGTTTACGTCAGAATTTATTGCAATCTTACTTGAATGATCCTATATCGGATCCGGAGTTTTTCGAAGGATGCCCAGGAAAACAGGATGTAAGTTTTGATTTGATATGCAAGACACAAACATAGAAGTGTGATGTGAAACAAAATCTAGGTAAAAATGAAACCAAACTGTATAAATAGCGATGTCCCAGAAAAAGTATTCGGAAACACGTGGGCACAGTGTTGGAAACAAGGAATCCTTTTCAACATTTAGTTCAACCAATGAAGTTTTACGAATTAGCTAGAAAAATAAATACAAAAAGGAAAGGCGAATAAGATTTTGAGCACACGAAAATTCACCTGTTTGCGAATCTCAACAATTACGAAACCATTTATAGGCGAAAGATAATTTATTTTTTAGGATAATGATGTAAAATATGTATGCATATCATTTACTTACTCCTTTCGGAGGGGAAAACATTTTGCCTTTTCATTTAATATTCCCATCGTGACATTAAAATAACACTGTAGCGAACAAAAATTGTTTTCGAAAACAGGCTTTGTTCGCTACAGTGTTATTTTGCATTCTCTATGCTTTATTGAATACGAATGAATTTCTTCGTCAGTGTCAAAATTGTAGATTCAACTGTGCAATCAAGTTTTACGACCGAGGGAGCAACTGTTACCCGAAGAGGTCGGACCACACAGTGGAACAACGGCAATATGATTCCAACCCAGGATTGCCGGACTGTTTTCATGATATTCTATAACGTTTAATCTTACAGAAATATCACCAAAGCGTTCTGTGCCCAGGATTCTCCTCCCGAGATTTCTGTGCGAAAAATTTTAGTAACTGACAAAATTCTCCCACTGAATGCATCAATCAATGACTCTCTATATCGTGTTACAATTTTCTTTTTCATACCCGGCATTCGATTGTGGACCAGACGTTTGAGAAACTCCTCTATGGCCTTTGCTTCTTCCACGCGTTAGTTCAAGAGCGACGCAAATTTGGACCCTTAGGCTGGAACATTCCGTATGGATTCAACGAATCTGATCTGCGAATCTCGGTTCGTCAATTACAAATGTTTGTCAACGAATACGACAAGGTGAGGAAGTATTTCTTGAGTGATCAGTCTACCATCAGGGCCAACACAAACATGAACATTGCGTTTCGTTTCGTTGCTAATAGAAGTAAAGGGTACTTAAACAATGTCTAGTCTGTTTCTTTATCTTTATGAAATCATAAATTGATAGCAGGGGTTCGGTTTAAGTTGAAATGTAGAAACAATCACTAATTTGCTGGGCATCTTAACGTACTAAGCGTCCCGAACCGGCATTTTCGAATATATGAGTAGCTCACTTCCACAGCGGTGCCACAAAATTTATCGGCCAGTTAGCTGATTTCGCTATTTTCATCCGCAGTGACAATTCGGTTTCTTTTTTTGCTTGTTTTTCTTTTTTTACCGTAGTAAACTGGTTGCACTGAGGTTGCAAATATTATGCTATCATGTTTATGTTGTGTTCCTGATCAAGAACTGCCCTGACATACTCGTGTTCTTCAACCATTGTCACGTTTGATTCAGGTTCCGTACGATGCGATTCAATACATGACAGGGGAATGCAATTACGGTGGCCGTGTGACGGACGAGCGAGATCGACGTTGTCTGATGACCATTCTGTGTGATTTCTTATGTCCGACGATTGTCATCGACTCACGTTACAAATTCTCCCCGAGCGGTCTATACTTTGCACCAAACAAAATGGAATATTCCGAATACTTGGAGTTCATTAAGGCACGTTTATGTTGAATACTACCTGTTTCTTTTCAACATTGATCCTATACTTTCCTTGGTTGCTTACAAGTAAATACTTTTGGAGAGCTAAACAACACCGATTTTCACAAAGAATCAAGCGTACAAATTTGGCAGATTTCAAAGCTTATTTTGCGTTTAAGGCATTAAATCATTTATGTTCATTTCGTTTGCAAGGGAAGAGACTATCGACTGTGACTCACAATGCATTGGAGTTCATCTTCGTGTGCAATTTACAGTTTATTCAGATAATATTGCGCAATGGTCTGGNNNNTAATTAATTAATTAATTACTAACTAAAGGTGTACAAGTAGAAAAATTGCCAAATGCAACATATAGATCAAATTTCTCACATTTGGAAGGTTAGTAGCGCCTATTCCAAAAGTGAAAGTTTAAAGCCACGGCGATAACTACTTAGCTTGATGAAATCGTGGCTGTTTGTTGCCTACCCGAATCACTGCATCAATGTAAACAGCTATTTGTAACGTGATTCAATCATTTGTTTTGTGTTTAGGCTCTTCCCGCTATCCAGAATCCAGAAGTATTCGGGATGCATGAAAATGTGGACATCACCCGAGAGCTGAGCGAGACTCGACTTCTCTGCGATTCAATATTGCTCACAGTTGGCCAGTCGACCTCCGGTGCCGGAGGCTCGTCGGAAGCGGAACTCGATTTGATTGCATCAGACATACTGGAAAAAATACCACCACCGTTTGATATTGAGGAAGCCTACAGACGATACCCGGTCAAATATGAGGAGAGTATGAATACAGTGCTTGTGCAAGAACTGGAGCGTTTCAACAAGTAAGCGCGTACAAAATTAGTTCCTTGGATAACCTGAATCCGTACTAGCTCGTACGAAGAAATCGCTATTCCTAACATGCTTTATGCATTGCATGACATTACTTGAGTGCTCGCACTTCATCTGCAGTAAAACAAACTTTCGAACGAATTGATTATTTGCAAGTATCCCGCGGCATTCCATGTATGAACACAGCCTAAGTACTTGTTCATTGTCATGAAGTTCCATTCTATCATTCAGTATAAATAACAGTTACTCAATGACGCACTCTTATTTATCTTTTAATTTATGAAGTGGCCCTGATCGATCGAAATAATGCATCAGCCTTAGGTGTTGAAGCAAGTTCTGCCACTCATTCAAGCTCGCCGTACTGTATCACTGCCTGTCCTTGAATGCTGTTTTGAAGATAGTCATGTTTTATTTTCTGTTCACTGTGTCCGAGTGACAGAAAAGATCTGAAAAAATGCGTCTTTTTACTTCCTTTTTTATTTATTGAATATAAAAATGTACAGTCAACATTCAGGAAGGGGGGCCGCAGCTATACAAAGGCTGCCTGAGAAGACGGGCGGCGGTGGAGCGGCTCGAACCCGGGACTCATAGGTTGCAAGTTGATGACCTAACCACTTGATCACTACCACCCAGCCGCATGCTTACAACTCTTCTTCATCAGTGTTTTTCAGCAAAGTAGTATTGCTTACAGTTTTACTCTCTCTCTCTTGCGCCTCGATTACTCAACCTTTTAGCAAATATGACTGAGAAAATGTCTCTGTTCTTATGCGGGGGAATAGTGACGTCGCTATGTTTCCAGGCGGCAGATTGTCTGATCTGGGATGTTCAGGCTTCACTCAACATTCACGGCTTAATGTGGATTCAAACGATCTGTAGGTTATTCTGAGGTTAGGCACAGATATTTTAGTTAATCGCGGTCATTTACTGGAAAAAGTGATCGACTTCCATAGACTACGGTGGTTGGGATGTGTCACCAAATAGGTTGCCAAGGTGAGCGATGTGTGTTGAGGCAGGTAGTGGTTGGGACCAGGTCAAGGGTGGTCAAACTAAGACCTGGAATGAGGGTGTCAGAACCCTAACCAGTACACTGGGTCACATAGGTCCCGTTAGGCTCCCTCGAGACCATGGTAACTGGAGGTTAGAGACCGAGTGATATGGATGGGTGTCGTAAACAGTGGCGTTCGTGCCTCTGTTCATTATTGTTGCAACTTCATTCTATATGACTTCTTTACCTTCTCTTTGACAGCTCTCCACATTCCAATCTTCATTCATTTATTCAAATGGGCAGCCAAAAGACGGCAACCAAAGCCGGCGCATGAAAATGCATGATGGATGGTTGTCAAAACTGAAACTGTTATGAATAGTTTCACTTTAGTGTATTTATATTTCGCATAAATTTATCCCTTCAGTACTGCTGTGCTCATTTGCCAATATCATTCTGACTGGGTGGGAGAGAGAAAGCAGAAGTTAACCGGCTATTTGGGCAGGTACATCGTCAAAACCTGATTAGGGTTTACCTACCTGAGACGCCTAGGGCTTCGCCGTGACCTCCGGCATTTTTTCGCCAACTATTCAAATGTCACAGCATTCGGACCGATGCTACTGTACCAAGATGAGACATGAAACCTTGTTCGTCACTCAGTGTCCGCACTAATGTGAGCGGTGATAACATTAAAGTCCAAAATTTTACTTGGTAGTAAATGACCCACTGTCATTGATGGTGTGTAAAGGCCGATTTCAAGGGACGTATATCACTTTTATCGCTGATCAAGTGCAACTTTCATTTGTCGGAGTAGTTCACGAATACTATAATATAATGTAATATAATATAACCTAATACATATCCTAACATATGATATAGTTTATCATGTAAAATAACAAAATGATAGCGCCAATGTCCGTTTTGCTGACTACACAGTGGTATTTCAATCGTGATAACATCGTCTAAACCTGACTAATTACAAAGTTCTGTTGCCTGCAGGGGATGTGAAGATGAGGCAACGTTGCACCTAGTGTTTCACCTAATCATAGCACTCTGTCACTGTTGGTCTCTAAGTGCGCTTGAGAACATGCAGTACTTAGTTAGTTTCTAGGTTTCTTTGTGACACTACATAAATATAACAAAGGCTCCCACACAAGGATTTAGAATGTAAGTGTTTTCCGGTTTTAGTAGTTATATAAGAACATAGAAATGCAACAAGCACTCCAGAGGTAATTTACAAAAATCCATGGGGGAGACAAAAGAATAATTGGAGCTTTTGATTGAGCATAATTGCAGTGGTTTCACTTTCCAGGATGGAAACCATTCACAGAACGGTTTTTGGTGCAGCTTTGACATCAAATTGACAATCAAATTGGAATTCCAATCAACAGGATCAAGTATGGTGTTTCTCGAACTATTCTAAGCGTTTTTAAATAACTTCTGATTTGACAGTCAATTTGCAGTCATAAATCCTATTCGACTTGACCAAGGAGCAATAAAGGAAAGCAAGTCAAATAAATCTCCTAAATAGGGAGTTGCTGATCAAGAGTCGCTGCTGTTCACGACTTCCAGCTATATAAACCAGCGCCTCTAAGCATTTTGATTGGTCAATCATGAGGTTCCCAACCACGAGGACCAACGCGATCAATGTGACAAAGAGCCCTACTCAGATTTCTCCATGCTAAGAAAATTATCCATTATGGCTGATTAGAATGTCTGGAATTTCATGTGATTGCCACGTTTCCTGCTGAAATGGGTGATCGAGAATTAGCGAAGACCAAGACCATGAGGGTAATGACAATTAGGCACTGTAATCATTTTGACTGGTAAGGGGCTGACGGCTTCAGAAAGTACTATTGCACTAAAGAGCGCAGCATTGGTGGTAAATAACTCGAGACAAATTGAAAGTTTGCACGATTATGAATCAGTAGAAGAAACTAAAGTGACTTGAGCAATTCAGAAGGCCTAGAGTTAAATTACATCCTTTTGCAATAATTAGCAATAAGCATAGCTGAACTGCGTTTATGGAACTCATCTTTTCGACGTTTCAAATTTGTGACAAAATGGTGCACACTCATGTGGTGACCGGTGTCTGAAATTGCCATCGAGTGCATATTTTCCTTACTATACATTTGTGGCCGTTTTGTAGATTGGGGTCAGTAAGTAAACATTGGCACGCGTGCTCGATCAGTTTGTGTTTTAGTCTGTTTTTAACAGAATTCTCCGATGTGCTACTAGTGTAATTGACAGTGGCTCTCCGTAACCTGATCAGTACACGCATTTGCAACGTGCATTCGGAGATGGAGGGTGGGGGTAAGGCAAAGGGATGAGGTGAAGACGATTCACTCGACCAGATATCGATCGAGAGGTCAAAACGTCTAATCGATCATATGGGCGAAGTGGTTTAGGTTTATTACTTTCGTGAGATGGTGACCTCAACATACAGGAGTTCAATTGTAACACGGAGCTCCTCAGTAGGGAGACCGTGAATCAATTCATGGTCATAAGCTAAGCGTGGCAGTTATGCAATATGAAATTCATCTGAATAGTGTTTTAATTTCGAAAAGGCGCACTTATTTTCCTTCGATTCTCTCATAAATCCTAAGAGACACTCTCTCGACAAAGAGGAGAGTGTACCAAACGAAAATTTTTAAGCTGATGAAAGGAATCCAGTCGTAGTTCCAGTTCAGGTTAATTGTCTAACAATAATCGACCTTTAATGCAGTTTCTTGAGATACAGAGCGATTTAAATAAAAGTGGTAAATATCTTCCTTGCAACAAACTACCAGTCCTAAGGTAAACTCTATTTGTTTGCCCAGTAATACTACAAAACTGCCTTGTTTATTTTAAATGTTATTTTTATTTATAGTTTAACACGCATCATCAAGACCACCCTAACGGATTTAAAAAAGGCAATCAAGGGTTTGGTCATCATGTCAGAAGCACTTGAATCGTTGGCCGCTGCTCTTACACTCAACAAACTTCCATCCATTTGGGCTGGTAAATCATATCCAAGTTTGAAACCGCTCGGATCCTACATCACTGACCTATTGGAACGACTGAAGTTCTTTCAAGTACGTACAATTATTTGTTGATAATCAAAGTGCATTAGAAATTCAAGCATCCTTTATTTGTGTTGATGATTTTACTGATTATTCACTTCACTGTATAGTTGAAACTCCTTTGTGAAGAGTGTGAGCTGATGTACTTTTTTCTCCAAAATTAGCTACATTGGAACTTAATGTTTACCTTGGGCTGATTTCTGTTGTATTCTGCTGATAGAAAGGCAACAAATCAATCCACGGGTTGAACGTCATCCAGAAAAGCTAACATCTTACAAAATTCACTATCGGTATACTTTCTAGGGATTCGCTTCAATTGGGTAACTAGTGAGCTCACNCCCCCCCCCCCCCCCCCCCCCCCCGGAATTACTTGCATATTCCTAATATGGCCAGATTTGACCCTGTTAGCCACGAAGTCTAGAAACGTACAGCATTTGTGAGGGCATTAGGCCAACATTTTAATGTGTACTTATTGTCTTCAGAATTAACTTACCATTACTTGTGGGTGGTGTTGTGGAATAAGTGATTTGATTTGGACCGACTATCCTTCTAACTTCATCGTTACACACAATATTCAGTTCGTCGAATGAACCAAACACCTAAAAATACAACTCGAGTTTCATTCTTTTTGGATTGTCTAGTATTCTATATTCGTAAGATTAGAGTACTCGAGTATGATGATTCCTGAATTTTTGGCTGCTTGAATGAATTGTGGATTGTGCGTTGCTATTTTGACTGCAAAATTGTGGAAGTGGATTTAATCATCTGAATTGTTTACCTCGGTTTCCTTTGCTTTCGGAATCAAACCGTTTTGACTTTATTATCCTTCAGTATTCAGTTTCATGTTTTATACCACCGGGGGTGCACACCGTTTCTCCATTTCAAGCTGATAAATCCGTTCGACAGTTTGGAGTTGTCAGCATTTGTCCAATCTTGTTATTTTCCAAAATATCCCATAATTTGTTTCACCAAGGTTGATTAAAAAGTAAATGAGGTTAATTATTTCTACCTAAATTAGGCTGTTTCATGTTTCGGGGGACATGTGCTTTTATTCACTAGTTTATACCTTGACAACTTTCAGCGCTGGTACGAGGAAGACAAACCGCCAACCTATTGGATATCCGGTTTTTTCTTTACACAAGCATTTTTGACCGGTGTGCTACAGAATTACGCTCGACGAAACACAATTCCCATTGATCTGCTCACATTTGATTTCGGGGTGAGTTGTGCACTTGAATCCGTTTGCAAAAATGACTTATTTCTTCGATCTGTTACCATTTTGCAAGGTGGTCAGGATACAATAGATCTCATACTTCCCTTATTTCTCCCCGGAAAACGGATTTTTAGATATTTCGTTCTACTGTTCAGTATGATATATGACAGAAGCTTCATTATGTTGGGAGGTGCATCCTCCTACAAGACAAGAATGAGTGTAAGTTACAAGTGTGGCAATACACTTGCGTTCTGAGATTCCAGCAAAATTAACCCATATTCCCGTATACAGTTCATAAACACCACTCTGTTTCATGTCTGTCTGTTGCATCGGATAAACTCCTCTTGTAATACCTGGCTACTCAAAATCAGATGCGTGTACAAAAATGACCCCAATTGATCGTGGTATCAAACACACGGTTTACATCCACAACTAGATTCTAATCAATGCGACCTCAGACCACCCAGGGTTTTGAGGTTTTTTTATCAGACAGCACATGTCTACGTGAGCAGAAGAACAAACCCCAGCATTTAGTTAAAAATTAATAAACTTCCGGATTGTTAAGTGAAGATCCAAAAGAGGCCAAAGCAAGCCCAGATACAAAAATAACTGAATTCCAAAGAAGGTAAAATAGTAATAAAAAATCAACTAGAAGAATCACACTCCTGCAGTTTAATCGCGAAAACCAAACAGTTCGACTAGGAGCCGATTGAGGACTGAGGTTGAACAGACGATAAAAGGCGCAAATTGATCAGAATCGTTATGAAACTACCGGATGAGCGAGACAAATCAACGCTGATAGTAGTGCTTACACGCGCTCAGAATAAAACAACATTTTTCGTAGCATCACATAATAAACAGATGCAACACGGTGTGGGGTAGGGTAATATGGTAAGTAATGCAGAAAGTGGGGCAATAGGGAAAAGGAGACAAAGTGGTCTAGTTCAGTGGTCATAAACGAAATCCATATGACAACTTGTATATATATATATATATATATATATATACAAGTT